TATGAAATGGAGGTATCAGATTAATAACAGCATTTTTTTCTCTAGCGCTGTATTAGATTTTCTAACTGGTTGCATTTGATGTGCTTGAAAGACTGCATTATCACACAGTCAGTTCCTGAAATGGTCAGCGAATTTTAGAATTGTGGCTTTACATACTCAGAAAATGGATTGTGAAATTATGATTTTAAATATTTTGCAAAAACCTTTCATCTGTTCTAACTGAGAGGATGTTTAGATGTCCTTTTCTGTTTGGGAATATTTCTCACAGGGAATCATTTTATGATTTGGATTCATTTTATACAACTTTAGCCACCTGACAGCTAATTTTATAAATTTGAGCTAATAATCTAGGCAACTTTCATAGTGGGGAGGGATAAGAAGCTTCTGTTAGAGTGTGCATCATCCCCCTAGAGCAGAGCAGGGTAACAGCTTTCAGGAGATGCCTTGGTTGTCCCTTTGACTGTAGATAAGGCCTGTACAATCAGGTGACTAACCTTAAATGACACAAATCCTATCATCTAAAGTATTTAGTATGGATTTTAACCCTCTCCACTCTGTTCTCCCTCAATGCACGCCCAGCTCCCAGTAGTGAAATGAATGAGGGTTAAGGTAGCTGTATTGCTGTGAAATGTGCTGGTGTGGAGCAGATCCTGGTGTTACGTGCTTCTTGGCTCTTTGGATTTGGGCAAGCGGTGCCACACGAGAAAGGAGGAACAGTGAGCAGGCAGCTGCCCTCTCCCGCTGCACAATGAGAATAAACGTGTACGGTTTGAAACAAAAAACTCCCATTGATTCACATCTTTTCCAGCTAAATATAAACTTTTATTTTTCCAAGCAGAGAAAAAAAATACTATCCCAAACCGTTCGCCTGTCCTGGTTCATCAGGAGTTTCAGGAAACATTTGTGCTGGCAGAACGGAGGGATGATGCTGCTGCAAGATAAAGGAGTGAACTGGAAAGGCTGCACGGGGACTGCTTAAGACTGCACAGCTCTCTGCGGCTTAGTCAAACGCTGAATCCAGCCCTTTGACTTTGAGGACAGGTAGAGGTACATCCCATGGTCATAGGTACGTGGGCAGTATGGTCGTTACGCTCCAACTACATAGCTAGATCTTTTATGTATCTTTTTCTTCCACTACTGCACCTCCTGTTGCACTCTCTGTGGTTTTGCTTCTGTCATTCAGCCATACTATTTGGTTTTTATTTTTTACCAGCCTTCGTGGTTTACATGCACAGTGTTTTCTTTGGATTAGCCAGTGCACTACTCCTTTCAAACTATTTAATAGGAAAGATCAGCCTCTAAGAACATTTAATTGTTGTCTTAAGCCTGTAAATGATATTAAGAAACAGATTCTGAGATGCAGCCTGTTTGCAGGGCTTCCTACCTGAAGGCTTGCTGATCTTCTTTTTCTACGCTTTCTACTGGGCTCTTTTGTGTAGAGAAAATGTCTGAGGGTCACTGGTGTGAGTATCAGGGAGTCTTCCCAGGTGCACACATGAAGGGTAGCCCAAATCAAGCAAGGTGAAAATTCTGCCTCTGCCTGATAGACCCTGCAGTGCTGCAGCAGGGTAGGGTTTGTTGCCCTTCACACGTTTAAACCTTTGTCTCCAGTTTTCAATTTTTTTCTCTAGGCTTGTAAGGCTTGTTATTTTAAATGAAAACCTAGAGTCAGAGCCATTAATTTCACCCACATCCCTACACATAAGTGATGGAGAGAGCTAGTGGCCCCTGAAGGGTGACTGCAGGGAGATTCAGGAGACTGAAGTGAGGTGTGGGGGCAGCTACCTGGGGTCAGCCAAGAGCAAACACGAGGTGTACGGACCTAAGTGGAGTTCAGGCCGTTTGTATTCTGAGCCTCCTGATCCTAAGAGAGGCTGACATGTTTTAAATCACTGTGATTCATGGTAAGCACGCAAGGCTGAGTGATGGCTAGCAAGGAGAACAAACCTTTCTGTATTTCAGTTGTGCCCTTTGCTCAAAAAGAAGTGTAATAAATGCAGGGTCTCATCAGGTTAAGTACATCAAAGACTGGAGGAGCAGCAATACTGTGGTAATAGGGTCACAGAAGTAGCTTTCCCAGCGCTGTGGGGTTCTGGGAGTGCATAATGTTGATATCACCTTATATCTCACACAATAACTCGGATTCCTCCTGGGTTTCTGAGCAGTGCTCTTTGGCAGTGTTTGCTATGGGCCTGGGGCACAAGCTAGCCCATTTATCTTGAACAAGTTGTGACAGAGGTTACCTTCATCAGATCGAAAGCATATTTTCAAAACCCAACATGTTTCAAACTATGCAAGAAACATTTCTTCCATGTTGTGGAAAAAACCTGCATAGTTGGTTTTTTCCTTTTATTTAGTTTTCTGTGAATTTAGGAATTTGTATTGATTCGGGATTTTTTTGGTTTATAAATTTTCAGGAGAGCAGTAAGATTTGGACTTATACGTGTCTGGTAGGACATGGCTGCGTGGCATGTCAAATGTGCGAGCATGGATAATAAAAATGCTTCTCCTCACTTGGAAATTAGCTCTATCGCGTTCTGCTGTGTACGCAATCTGAGCAGCACAGACCTGAGCGTGTTAGTGGGCCAGATACAGCACATCTGTACTAATAAATAAAGTGGGCCAACATTAATGCTCCCTCCTTAAGGGCAAGCAGTGGGACGTAGCAGATGACATTAAGCTCTGTGGGCTTTGGGAGTGGTACTAGGAACAGGAGCTGAGGCGTACCCAGAGCGTGCGATAGCCACAGTACCTGCACTGACGCTTCTCCCTTTGCAACAAGTGCCAAGGAGGGGAAAAGCAAATGAGCCCTTAGTGTCCTGCACCCTCCCTCCAGTACAGCCACCTGCAAACCCACAATATTTGCAGCCCCTCTTGGCAGCAGAATAACCAGTCAGAATGAAACTAGGCAATCACAAGTTCATTTCCCTAATGTTAATTGTGTTTATTGTTTTGTATTGCCCAGTTTCCCTGTTAAGGTGGGTCATTTTTACATGCCTTTAAAAGACTTTTTGCTGGGACGACGTTCATGCCAACCACCCGTGTTACAAAGCTGTCATTTACTCCAGCACAGTTGCCTGTATTAAGTGCGCACCTCAGCTTTCAAAAACACAATTTGCTGCCTAACATTTTACTACATAACCACTGATAAGAACAGTCATCTTTCTTAACTAATATGGCTGAGAACAAACATGTCTGGACGTTGGTGTTCCAGATGAAGACAGGATGTTTCACTTCCAGCCAAGTACAAGATGGAGTGAGGCAGGAAAAGTACAGTCCAAGGAGGATAGGTGCTCTGACCTTCCTCCGCTCTCCTGGGTGAGTATATGTGGAGTTTCATACGTTGAATGAATTTCTGAGTTATTTTTAGAAAGTATTTTCATATTCAGTCTGAGGTTAAGTAGAGTGTGAAACTGTATTAACAACGCTTGCCATCAGCAATTTTATTATAGATCTCAGTTTTACAGTCAACATTTTATATTACAACAGAAGAGCTACAAAAGTGAGCATGAAGACAAACTCTTGACCTATAGTCAGAAATAACCTATTTGAAAGTATTGGTATGAGTCTGCATTGATGCCTCTAAGTAGTTACATAACAGAGGGCAAATAAAAAGAGATTTCACATAATGTAAACATTATGGGTGAGGTCTTGGGCATGGTCCAGCGATGCTCAGTGCAGGCCTGTGTATTACGGAGCAAAGGTTTAGCGAGAGATGCTCAGAATTACACCAGCTTGCGTAGTTCCAGAAGGATGCTTCGCACCCTAGGCAGTCACTACGATGTGCAGCATTATAACCTTCCGGGATGGCGGAAACCTCGGTCTGCCTAATGAATTGGCACTTGCTGGTTGTGCTGCCACTGCAACACCTAGGAGTGTATCTGTAGCAAAAGCTGCTCTGTTCTCTTAGTGTGAATGGCACCGCACAAAGGCACTACAGCCGAGGCCACAAGCTGGCCTCAGATCTTTTTTGTTATAAACACTCTACTTGAATATGCGTATGAGACTGGCAAAATGGAAATCCAAGGAAATCAATGATGTAACCTGCTGTTTCAGTGCAGCGCGGCATGTCTGTGCTTGTGAATTTTAGACTGAAGGAGTCACCTTTCACCTCAAAAACGGAGGTCAAGAGAGACTCCTTATTGCGGCAACCTTTTGATGTTTGTCTCTGTTCCACTGGATGGCCAAGCTGTGGCCTGAGGGACCTTTTATGAAAGTTGGAAGGCTTATGCTTATTGCTATATTAAGAGTAAAATGTAATCTGAACTGCAGTGGTGTTTCCAGTAGGATTTTAATGGGGGTCCCTGAGTCAGTCTTGCTATTTCATCTCCCCAGCTACACACTCAACACGTTCTTATGGATGCTGGCAATCCTCCAAGTCGTTTCTGGTCTCTTCTTGGCTCAGCTCAGCCATTTCCCCACCAGCCACGTACTGTGATGCCCATTAAAAGGCAAGAACTACTCTGCCTCTTCAACCGGTTACTTCACCTGCTCAGAGGTGCCACGGTCCCTGGGAGAAACACGGTTTACATCATGTGCCACTGGGCAACGTTCCCCTCTGGGGGATGTTGCACTGGGATGCAAGGGGAGCGTAGCGTCCTCTGGTCATTTCCCATCCAGCCTTCCTGCGGGGAGGAATGCGAGTGCTGACCCGAGCAAGTTCTGCCTCTGCTGGAAAATCTCTTTCTTCCATGTGCACGGCCCAGGGAATCCCTGCTCTGACCCTCTGAACACAAGGGGAGCTGTACAGGAGGGAGTGAACCAGGGCAAGGCGTCTGCCGTCAACCACTGAACATGCCCCCTGCCCCTCTGAAATAGCGTGTGGGTGTGCGTGCGTGCGCGCGTACAGTAATCACACCTCAAACATCATCTGCTGCTCCTTGGCCATTAGTATCACAGCAAGGATTTCTGGTTATGGACTCTGTACGCACCACGCTACTATTTATCACTCTAAGCAATGTAGCCACATCTTTTCCAGCTTTACGTGCAAATAATGAAAGTCTTCAATAGTGCGGAACACTCCGTTTCATGGAGTCGCCGTGGTGTTGGTGCAGAATCTGCAGTCTGTGTGGTCAGGGTTATGCACACACTGAAGAAGCTGAACCGGCCTGTAATAAGACACAAAACCAAACATTTAGTAATCAGTTTGCACGTACAACAGAAAAAAACTCCACAGTTACTAAACACAACGTGAAAGTCAAAATGCATGTTTCATCTGTGCTTACCAAGTGGATATCTTGTCTTAGGATAATTCTTTTTTAGATCTTGCTGCAGAAAGATAGCTTTGATGTTTATAGGTGTTAGGGACAAGAGCAAGTGAGTATGAAATAAAGTAGGGTGTGAACTCACAGCATGTCAGCTATGCTGTGATAACAAAAATAATTATGAAAAAGAAGTAAGATCTCTTGCACTGACTACAGAGCTGCTGCCATGCTGGAGCTGATTATCTTGCTTACCCAGTGGTAACCCCTACTGCTACAATGTAAAGCTGTTGCTAACTGTGTCAGATATAAATAGATTTTTTTGCTAGAAGTACATCCAGTGAATCAATTTTTTCAGCTACTTCTGGAAGATACTACTGACACTGACAAAAGCAAGAGAAAATGATCAGCATCAATTGCTACGTGGCATGAAAAGCCGGATGCTCAGCTGACACGGACCCACGTGGTTCTGTCTGCAATGACTTCAGGGGAATGACGCTGACTTACATGATCTATCCTGAAGAGTTTTACTGCACATGTAAATTGCTTATTTTATTATTGCTCTGTATATAAAATGGTAAAATTAATTGTCTGTGTTGCTCTACACAGTTGTTTATGTATGTGTTAGCTGAGCTCTGACAAAAAGCCCTACTTGTTATTCTATCCAGCAACAAGTATGTCAACAACTCTTCATGATGGTTTCACAGGTTTCTCCTTGTGCTGAGCCACGAGGCATCTAAGCTACTACATACTTCCCCTTCCTCCCTGGCCCCTTAGCTTATTTCATCATAGGCTGAAATAATTTGTACCTATCTACAGGTCCTGGGAGTATTGGTTAAAGGCTGCAGTCACCCGAAAAGAAAGCAAGCACACGAGCATCGCCGTTTGGAAGATTTATGCGAGTGTTCATTTTTTCACGATGTGCAGAGTATCCCATTAATCAGGTTTAGCAACACCTAAACAGGAATATATTGCTCTGCCTTTAAGATTAAAATCCTAGCACAAAATAAGCTGCTTGTCTCCTTTGAAGACCAACTTTTCCTTATTTAAAACCAATGTTACAAACTCAGTCATTTATAGAAATGTTTACTTTGGAAATGTTCTTATCCCAGTATGAGTCCTTCACTCCAAAAAGCTGTTCCTGACAGGTAAGATATGAGTAATATTGAACCCTTGCTACTTTTTTAATGTCACTAAAGAACACTTTTGCTCTGTGCGAAGGTCTCTGAACCCCCCCCCCCAGATAAAGGGTCTCAGGTTTTTGTTATCTCCTCAGCAGGCACATAGACATTTCAGGCAAGTCAGAACTTGGGCTGTTCTGCTTCCTGGACTCCTGTTTTTATCTCCTGACAATGGAGAATTATAGTAATTAATAATACGTATCATATCTCATGCCTAACTCTCTGACAAAGCAGTTAGATGGAAAGTAAGCTCAAAGTATAGCGAAGGAAGGAAGGACCGTCTTTGACATACTGCGTTGTCTGTGTGCAGCAGGGAGGAAAGCTGCCTATTTGGTTGTGATTATTGTAGGTAAAAGCCCGGTCAGATGACAATCTGATGAGAGAGGCTGGATTCCTCCTTCCCTGAAGGCAACAGAACACGTGCAGTGGTGGTGACCTCCTGGAGGGCCAGGCAGAGAGCAAGCCCCAGACCCAGCCAACGTGAGGTCTGCAGCACAAGTGGAAGCCCCTGAGAAGCACATGGCCACGTCGAAGGGATGTGCAAGCGGGGAGTCTGTTCTAGCCTGCTGTAAACCAAGAAACCTGTATTAAATGAAGAGGGAGATGTAATACTAGTTTTATGTTAGCAAGTTGATACCAGTAAGAGCAGGTAATTACCTGTAATTGTCTTCACAGGTGATCATAAAGTTTCGCTCTTCTAAGATGCTTTTTAACTTCTTTATGGAATGACCTGAGCAGGATTCACTGGAAAGAAAAGTCTTTGGTTACTTGTGTTCCTTGTGCGTACAAGAAGCTCAGCTAAATTCCACGCTATGTCACTTCGCCTTATTTCAGGTAATATTCTTTAAAAGCTTGTTTGCTAATGTATTGTCAAATCCACTGGGTTTGTGGAGCTTTGGCCACCATTGGGCCTTTGCTGGTAGAAACTATGTGATGTTCAGCTGTGCATCTTGCACAAGAACTTCGTGCAGGAAGGTATCTGTGGGAATTAACTCAGTTCCTTTCACAGTTCAATATGCTCTAGAACTGCTCCAGATCTGCAGGTGGCCTCCATCCACAGGAGCATGATACAAAGCTCATTCAAATCTGTGGAAGGACAAAGTGATCAAGTGTGATGAGAAAGGGCCAGGAAAACGAGCAGCTAAGTCCCAGGTAGGACACACAATAGGAAGAAGCAGAAAGAAAACATGGGAGGAAGCAGGATAGAAGCATCTCCTGTCAGACTCAGTGTTGCTACTCTGTCTTGACAAAGGGCTGTTCCAACTACTTTTCCATTGGTAGAAGCCCTAACCTGTATATTTCTTTTTCATCCAGCTAATAGTTTCATGAAGCATGTAGCAATGTCATACCTTTGAGATCTTTAACTCTGTGCTTAATTTGCTTGGAATAGCCCAAGGGGCCCCAAAGCTGTAGTGAGAGGACTGACAAATGTCAGAGACACAGACAGAGCCACTGCAAAAGACTTGTTACCTCGGGATAAAAATCGTCTCCTGGTCCAAAGTATGGGACAAACATCAGGGCAAATCCAGTTCCTAACATGTGGCATTAGTGGATAGCAGAGCCAGCGCTTCTTTGTTCACAACACTTACAAGATGTTATCAGTGATTCAACATGGGATACAAATCAGAAGATAAAAGGAATGCATATTGGCGCTACCCTTCCTCTTTCTCCTTGTAAGTAAGTAGAAAATAAAAAAGAAACTGCTGTGAACTTGGCAGAGGAGAAGGATGTGTCAGGAAGGCTGGCAGGGCACCAGGTTGTTGAAGCTGTTGAGGAGGAACATGATGGCTTTTCTGATGTTGGGAAATCATGGGACAAAGTATCAAGTGCCATGTTTGGGGGAACTAATTACCCAATGTCCTTTTCTTCAGCAAACCTCCATGCAATGGGCCACAAGAATATGCCCGGCATGGTGACCACAGGATAGACACATGCCCATGAGCTGTGACAGATGGGGAGGGGTTGCAACACTGGAGCTGGCACTGTGTCAGACAGGCTGTCTGAGCAAGGGTCTCTGCTGCGTGGGTCCACACTCATTCCTGAGTTGCACTGCATCATCACAGTCTCCTTCCTGACCCAGAGCATCAAAGCTGCTGTGTCTGGGGTGTGGGGTCCTTAGGAATGGGAGAAACCATGGCAACACAGTATAACCACATGAACCACAGAAACGGCTCTGAAGATAGGGGTCAAAGGCATTGAACCTCATGCTCAGAGCTTGAAATGTGATAGGTCTGCCAAGAATCTGATTGGGATGAAAAAGGATACTCAGAAAGGCTCAGATGTGATCTGAGGTCACTGTTCAGGTATCAGAAATTCCATGGTAAGCATTTGAACCACAGATTTATTAAAAATCACAGAATCATTTAGGTTGGAAGGGACCACTTGAGATCATCTAGTCCAACCAGTATCAGCTAATTAGCCAGTCGGGTTTTGAGTATATCCACAGATGGAGACTCCACGATCTCTCTGGGAAACCTGTTTCTACATTTGAAATTATTTTGCCAAAAATGTTTCTGGTTAGCATAATTATATTACTCCTGTGGGAAAACATATTTTCCAGCTGTTCACCCTTGCAAACGTAGCCTGCTCTGTGACTTCAGTGCTGCAGCTATAATAAGGGTCTGTAGAGCTCAGTGGGGTAGGGAGGAATGTAAAGGTCATGGCCCCTCTTGAAAGCAAGGAAAATGTCATTGTGCCTTAGCTATAACTGTTCAGCAGTACCTACGAAAAACATCCAAGAAAACAACAGTAAAAGTATTATTCTTTCCAGGGAAGTAAGCAGCTAGACAAGTGAATGTAAAGAAGGTTTCATGAACAGGTTTCAGATAGTGTCACTGTTAGTTATTTGTCAGAACTGAGCTGCACCGTCTGCCTTCTACACACCACTCATGGGTCCGTACCAGCGTCACTTACCTTTGAAGTCCACCGATGTCATGCATAAGCCAAATATGTACTGCAGAGACTTTACCTGGATTTAAATTAAAGATCTCAATACTTCCAAAAATGCTGTAAGAACGGGACATGAAAAAGCAAAACATTCTTAGTTATCTAGGTAAGATGTATAAGATGTAAGATGCTCCCCAGATACTAGTGCTTATTAGTGCTGCTATTATTCTCATGAAAGAACGTCCTTGCCAATGGATTTGACTATTTAATTACCTTGTGGTAAAAGATTTTCTCCTCATTCTTGTTTCACTTTCATAAGAACTTTTGAAACTGTCTGCAGACTGAAGCAAGCTGAATTGTTTCCATGTTTAGTGCCTATTCTCCTGCTTTGTTTATTGGCTATTGGTTTGGTACAAGGGGAATGAACGTGGCTGTTCTCCTGACTAGCACATTCTTCATCTTTTGAAATTATTCGAGACTGCGCTTCCAACCAGCTAACCCAAGGAAGTACAGTCTGGAGGGGGGGAAATCCAGTCAGCTCCAGGAACAGTTAGAAATGTGTCATTCAGGTGTAGTGAATAAATAAGCTGTAATAATAAAGTTACTTTGTGCAGTAAGAGCACACTGGATACCCCACCCACATACCCTCAGGAGATTTTCAATTGCAGTCACAGTATAGAAGGAATTAAGTGAATCACCTCTTCAATAGACAACAATTTAGACCTCTACATGAGGTTACCAAAACCCATTCTGCACTGGGACTCACTGGCAAAGACACGTTCACCAGCATGCAGGCCCCACAGAAACATGGGCGATAGCACACTGAGTAAATACCTGCTGCTTCTGAAAGCTCCAGCTTCTAGCGATCCATTGAGCATCACCTGAACCTCACCACATGCTGCTTCTGCAAACTGAACAAAACAAATAGACGTCATACTCTGACACTACATGCAGTGCCACGTCAGACTTAGGGCTAGTAGAAATTACTGTAACTTCTTTGATGTCATCAGAACTGACATACAAGTAGAGGATCTAGCCAATATCTTAACAGAACATGACAGTGCAAAAAAAAGCCTCTAAAGGCTATGACAAAACTGCCATAAAGCTGCACCAGCCAGCTATAAATTGGCAGTCTGAGGTTGCGTGGGATTGGTATAGCAACTTTGCTGTCACTGCTGGTTGCAGTTCTTACAGGGGGATGCAACTTTGCAGAGCCCCAGCAGCTGCAGCTGTCTGATGGGGCTGTTCCCCCCCCAGTCACTCGCAATAGTCCTCAGACTGCTTTAACTCAGGCAGTGAGGATGAGCCAGAACAGAGGTACCCCAAGTTTAAGGACATGCAAACCATTGCGTATTCATTATCTTGTGACTCACGCTCTGTATTCTTTTGTGGCTTGGGGTTTTTCTCCTCAGTGGTTTTAATAAAACTCATCACTGAGTTTTATTTGATTTGATTTTTAAATTACTGGACCAGGTAATCACTGCTCTTTTATTCTTTAAAATTCATGTCCAAATATTTAAAGACTACTAAGGTTACAACATAAAATACCCACTCAAGATATATAATCCATTAGTAAGAAAAAGAAATTTTAAAAAGCTTAACACAGGTGACTGTACTTATTAAATCCTCCAAGTCCTCTTACATCAAAACAATGTGGCTCAAACTGAGCTCTCGAGAGCTGTGAAGTTGCAGGAAAGTTTCATTATGTGTAACTTTCTAATGTAATAAGCATGAGTTTTAGTAGATCTTAAATTTATTTGGGCTAGAAAGCCTGCAGTCAAGCAAGCCTGACTCTGTACAGTGCTTTATCCCTCCCAGACTCTGGAACTGAGGGGAACAATGAGACCATCAAAACTGTTTTGAGCTTGGAAAAGTTATGTACACTAGTTTACCCACAAAACTTTTTTTAATGGTGAGTAGACTTTTTCTTACATACATGAGAGCTGAAGCATACAGGAATGCTTGTTTTTCACCTGGGCAGTTATCTACCAATAGTCCTATCAAGGATAAAGTCTTGAGAGAAATGTAAGATTAAACTGATACAGGAGAGCAGGTTTTTTCTGGCAGTTTGTTTCTGTAAAGTGCTGATTCAACAAAGCCAGGCTAATGTCTTAACTTGGACTAGCAGGGTCTCATTCACGTGATGGGAGTTGGCATGTGTGTATGGGTGGGTACATCGCGGGGACCTTGCCAGATACCATTGTGGGAGGATGTGCTCTTCAGGTTTATGCCGGGAACATGCAAGGGGATTCTCAGCTGCCTGGAAAATTTCTGTGCCAATCTGGGCACTGCTATCAACATTAACATGCTAAAATGTATTTTATTTTAGCAATTTCAGTCCTGTGATTTAATTAAGGGTAGTGATTGTAAACATTATTTGCAAAGCTCCAACTGTCTGCCAAGTGTTGTTCCAGACAGTCTCTATCCACAAATAAGAATGCCCAAACTACAGTGACATTAAATATTGTACAAATACAAATTTCCAAACCCATGATTTTTAGCACCTAAGGCTAAAGCTTCAGTGAACTTTTGCTATTCTGTGTTTTAAGTCCAATCTGCAAACTCACATTTTTGGCAGTGTCAGGAACTTAGTGCCTTTCAACATTCTCAGATTCAGGGAGATTTATTCTAGATCTTACCATCTTGGATGCCATTTTCCAGAATACAGAGCTAGGGTTGCTCTCACATTCACTTCGTTTTGGACAAGACTCATAGTTGATTCCTGAGAAGAAATACATTTATAGAATAGCTAAGGTTAGAATGAATATTGTGTTAATATGGCTTCGAGAGCTGATTATAGATGGCAAAAAGTTGTGCCCCCTACCAAAGCAAGAAGGCTACATGAGGAAAGGGCTCTAAGAGGAAAACGAATTTGCATGCGTTTGAAGGTCTTCCTGTTTGCTCACACACATTTCAGAGAGGTGGCTGCAGGCCCTGTATGCAAATAATTCTCAGAAAACTGAGAAGGGAAAATATGTAGTCTTAAATGGGAGAAACAGGTTGGCTCTTGACAATGCTGTCCAATTGCATTGAAAAATTAAATGTTGCCCAACGTTTTGAGCAATTTCACCCCATTTTAGAGGTTGCCAACTTTAAGCACTGACCCAGAAGTACCGTGGGCATCAATAACCCCGGGGTACCTACATACCACCCCTGCCGCTTTGACTGGACTATGGCCAGGACCTTCTTGAATGGCATTCTTATTTTGCGTTTGTCCCATGGAAGTCACAAAAGGAACCAAGTAATCTTGACAAAAGAGGGTGAGATATGACCATTAGTCTAAGAAGCAATCTGGTGTTTTAGTAGTAGCCAAAAAGTTGTGTTCTTTAAATTAACCTGAGAAGTAAGTATTATTTTCATTCTTCCATAATATGGGACAGAATACGGTTAAGGTTTTAAACTAACTTCAAGAAAAGAATATTTGAAAAGGACTATGTTTAGGCCCAGATATACAAGAGAAAAGAATAAACTGGAATTCCAGTGTTCTGATTTGTTTTGCAAAAAATAGGAAATATTACCTGGGGCAGAGGGGTCTCCACACCATGAAACACTATCAGCAATATAACCCAACAAGGTGTCCTCCAAGGTAAGGAAATTTTGATTGGATTTTGTATAACGATGAGCGAGGTCACTTGTCTTGCTCCAAAACAGTGACTGTGAAGTAAGGTACAATGTCTAATAAGTGATGCTTATACTAGACCTGGTCAGGAAATTTTCCTGGAGAAAAGCAAAAATTTTTCATGGTAATGAAGGAGTTTTAGTTTTTATTGAAATGCTGCAAGTTCACATTTGTGGGTAAGTTCTTATTTCTGCAGCCCATTTCCAAAATCTTTCTGGGTGGTTATTTTTTTGTGAAAATGGACGTGTTCAGCCTGTAAAGCATTTTGAAAGAAGGGTTTCGATTAGTTCTCGTAGTCTCTCCTAATTTGTTGTGCGTTTTGAACTGCACATGGAAAGACAGCTTTTTGGAAGCAGTGTCCCTCTAAGAGCATGATAGCATGCTCCATACGGACAGCCATATGCTCAGGGAACGGGGACATCTCCATCACTTCACCAGCACCACCCTGGTACTGAGGTTTGAGGCAAGCCTTACACAGGGATGACTTCCAGTGACAGAGAATGAATGGGTTTACTGGGGTCCAAAGGTGACAACACTATTGCAGTAAGCACAAGAGCACAGTATCATCGTCGACCTACAGACACTCACAGGCATTATGGACAAGATCCATCACTCAGAGCATTGCTCAGACGTGTCGTCCCACAGCAACCCTCCTTACGCAGCCCACTGTGCATTGTACCGTTACCTTGTTACAGGGTATGGGATGACTCGCTAACTCCATTAAAGGCTGATAATCTTCCGATGTAATGTTACAGGGATTCTTGTAAATGAACGCATGCTTTAATGATTCCCATATTTTCAGGCAATCCTTATCTCTGCCAAAAGATTCAAACACAGTTAATTAATATTTATGAGTATTTATGACTGTGAAAGGATCTCCTGTTATAGTCAACCACTATGGATCAGATTTTAAAAGAGTTCTGACTATGCTCAGGCACCAAAATACATTATCCGTTACAAAATGCTGAGTGTCTTCAGCAAATTGAGTATAAACTAGGAAAGAGCAGTTCTAAAACACATCTTCCTCTCCTGCATTTTAAATTACTGATAATTGAAATATCTGAATGCCCTCTATGTTTTTGTCCCTTAAAAAGAGCAGTGCTGATATCACATAACCAGAAGATCAAATTTCTTGCTTTCTTGATTTCAAATTTCTTGATTCATACCAATTCATGAGAAGCAAATGTGGCAGAATATAGCTTGTACGTTTTAAAAATACGGCTGAAGGATACTGCCTGCTCAGGTACAGTGAGCCAAAAATATGCCCATGTGTCTCCCTACGGAGCATTCAACCCTACAGAAATCATAGCTATAATTTTATCTAAAACAAAACCAGAGGTCTGGCAGTTTTGGACCTGATATTACTTTCATTTACGCACTAATTTGCGGCTATTGACTTTGCTGGAGCCACAGCTGATTTGCACACATATAACCGAGATCCAGATTAGCTGCTTGGGTGTTTCAGTCTCCTGATCCTCCACCGTGTTACAGGTTCTGGCCCTTTTGCTCTCACTGGTGTGAGTCAGAGAAATTCCACTAAATTTACATGGGGGGAACTGCTTCATGCCACGACACACCCCTATCACCTCAGCCTACATTTGTTTCTTAAGATGCTGCTTTGTCAGCCTAGGAAATAAAGTACCTCCCTGCTGACAGAAGCAGAGCTCCTTTCGTACTACCAAGAGGAAATGTGTTGCACAATGCGGGCAAGCAATCGTATCTCTCTACTGAAGTAGTGCCATGCTCCCTTCCTGAAGCTGCAGCACATAATAAGGCTTGGGATGGCTCAGGACATTTGCTTTCTTGTACTTGAGGTAATGAATGAAAACTTTGCATTAAGATAATTCAAAATTATTGTCTGTCTAGTATGCGTTTTCAAGGCTGTCCCCCACGGGTACACTTCTCTTCCTCCTCACGCTCCTGTAGTTTCAGGCCCGCTTGGAAAGCCTGTCCCTCTCATTACAGCAGTGACTGTAATGCAGTGATTTTGCATCCTTCTCTTCCCTATTTTTATGTAAATTTAAAATGCTGACTGCATTATCCTGCCGTCTGCATGTCTGCATGGAGCCATTCTGACTGTCTTTGACTCATCCACCGTTTCTTGACTGTTTGCGATCATCGCCCGGTGTGTTCCCTCTAAAAGCCCTTTGAAGAATGGACTTTGTCTTGTGTGAAGAAACTAATGCCTTCAGAGCACTATAAAAATAGCACTGATCAGTTAGTACCTGACAGACACACAGCTGCAGGCTTTGTTACCAGTTGGTATTTGGGTAACATGTAGGATGTGGAATTTGATCAGTCTTAAAAATAGTCCTAAAGGGATTAAGAAAAACGGTAGTAAATCATTGAAGATTTCCAAACATTTTCAAGTTAATGTTCCCTACAGTTGTGTGATCTTATTCCTACTACTGAACTTGACTGAGATTTCTACTGAGCGCCCATCTGAGCATCAGAGGGGCAAAGTGGAATGCAAAGAGTTGAGCTGTCTGTGTTACACGGGCCATGTCTAAACTGCAGAACCCAGAACCATTTGTCAGCTCCTGGCCATTTCCTCGCTGTCTGGACATGAACTCTCTTCTTTCCCTTCCTAAGCCTTACAGAAAATAAACATCACACAAAGAGAAGGCCAGACTCTTGTCTATCTGTGTCCAGAAGAAAGCGAGAGCACCTGCAGCACCAGGTACCAGAGGCAATGCCTCTATCAGACACGCTTCAGGGGCTTGGGCCAGTATCACACCGGGAAGGACCAGGCAATCCACAGCAAGACATCCCTGACCTTCCTTCCTGTCTGCTTTTATTTATGTAGCAACAAATCTAATTTAGTGTCGTGGTTTAGCCCCAGCCAGCAGCTGAGCACCACGCAGCCGCTCGCTCCCTCCCCCCCCCTCCTTCCCCCCCCCTTCCCCTGGTGGGACGGGGAGGAGAATGGGAAGGAAAAAGCAAGACCTCGTGGGTTGGTATAGGGACAGTTTACTAGGATAGCAAAGGGAGAGGGGAAAACAAACCAAACCAAAACAAAGAGTACTTAACAGAGTATACAAAACTGGTGATACAGAATGCAGTTTCTCACCCAAGGACCGTACAACTCAGACCGCACGCTCAGACCTGTCCTGAAACCGGACTGTCCCCAAGCCACGCATCCTGGAGCTGCTGCTGCCCCTCCCCAACTAGCCCCCCTTTTATACTGAGCATGATGTCACATGATATGGAATATCCCTTTGGTCAGTTTGGGTCACCTGTCCTGTCTGTGTCCCCTCCCAACTCCTTGTGCACCCCCAGCGATCCCGCTGGCAGGGCAGTGCGAGAAGCAGAAAAGGCCTTGGCTCTGTGTAAGCACTGCTCAACAACAACAAGTCCATGTAACAAAAACATTTCTATGTTATCAACACTGTTTCCAGCACAAATCCAAAACACAGCCCCATACTAGCTACTGTGAGAAAAATGAACCCTCTCAGCTGAAACCAGGACACTTAGCATTATACATGATTTCGGGTTTTGGGAGGTCATAGCACCAAGGCGGTTACTACAGCAGGTTTCCATGCCCCAGCTTCTTCCAGTCCTCCTCTGTGAAGGGTCTATGGTGGATACGTCCTCATCTCTCATTTTTCAGGCAGCCAAGTGCATCACACTGCGGAACTCTACCTGGATGCAGGCGTCCTTGCTGCCCAACCTTGCTGATTTAAAGCTAGCTTGGGTATTGCCGCTGTACAGTGCTCTCTGAAATGCAGACAGAGCCTGGGGGCAGGGGCAAGGCAGGTCAGCCTGGAGGGTCTCCAGCTGTATGGCCAACCAGGGCAGCTCTAGCCACGTGCTGACTTCCATTTCTTACCATGCCAGCCTGTTACAGGGGCAGCCACAGCTGTGTGAGGGACCATACCTCTTGCTTATGTGAACTAAATTTACCTCCAGGTAAGAGAAGACTAATAACAATGATGATTTTTTACTGGGCCATTGTCTTTTATCCAGGAGCCTAAATAAACTTTCAGTTACAGTCACTGTAGAAACAAGAAACCAGACATTTATATGGTGCGCAGTTTCCAATCTGTCAAATGATTTGTCCTCCTGGCAGGACTCCTTTTTTTTTTTTTTTTCTCCTTAAGCTACTCCTGAAATCTGTTACATTTAACAGTCTTAACAGCCACAGGTGACAGCTGGTTACCTGGTCATTTATCCTTTCATATTGCAAAGTTTTTAAGCTTGGTCTCAGAAGACAAAACATTTTTTCAAGGAATCATACAAAAAACGGGTTTATTATTCCCAAAGCAGAGAGATAAGTGATAAACACAGTAAAAAGCATTTCTGCTGCTGGACTCAAGTCATGGCCATGAGAAGCACAAAGCAAGAACCATCCAGGTGATTCATGATCCTGCCAAGACAGCTTGCTGGGTCACGAATTCAAGCATTAGTTTTCTAGCATTTCAAGACACCAAGCTCAGCACTTGATGATGTCCCTGGATGTCACTTCTATCTCAGGGAAGAGTCTTCATGCACAGTTCTGGCAGAGCTGAGCAAAACTGTATGTTTAATCTCATAAAAGTGGTAGGGCTTAGTCTTCAAATGGGGGAAGCTCTTCTATAGCTGGTAATCGGTAGTTGTACCGCACAGAAGAATGATAAGACACGAAGATGGACTTTTATAGAAACCAAGCAAATTCAGCATTGTTTTAGAAATCAAAATACATGTCTTCAATGTAAAAAAATACATAGAAAAGCAAAACAATACTTCATTTTCACTACTGTCACCTATCAACATGTATATTTTTACAATTGAATGAAAATAATGAATTGATTTGCCATTGGAAAGCTATTTCTCTAATACGAAATACAGGTTTTTCCTCACATCTCCAAGAGATTACCAGTCACATAGAACTGCAATTTTGGTTGATATATGAAAAAATAAGCAGTGAGAAAACTTTAGGACTTGTTAATCCCAGCTCCAGTAAGATAAGCCACCCCTTCCAGCCTCACTGTAGAGGTAGACACTATTAATAAAGCTTCACCTGTCCCTTTTTCCAGCAGAGCAAGAAAATATTTGTCTGCCGTGCAGCATTTAACTCGCCCTGAGCAGAAGTAATGGCAGAGACCTGGTGTAGCTCTGGGCCTCCTGAAAACAGTATGAGAAGTTTGCTGGCACTTGGTGTGCTAAAAATTCCAGCGAGAACAGTTTCAGGTTGAAACAAGCACATCTGCCTTGCCGAAAAATGCCTGAGAAACAAACTGTCCTCTTATGGCTGCTCCCAGCTGCTCATTGGGAAGTTCTCAGTCACAGCATGGGCTCATTTTTTTTTCCTTTGTTGGTTTACAGAAGGGAGGGTGAGAAAGAGATCACCAGTCTAGCAGTTAATTAATCTTATCTAATTCAGATACAGGAGTCCATGGTGAATACGCTTATAGACCACACTGCTGCAGGGCTCACATGCTCTCCATCTCTGGTTTTTGTTTGTATGTTTTGGGTTGCGTATTAATTCCGCATCGTATCTGCAACTATCGTATCTTTATGCATAATGGATTTCCTCCTTTGAGGCTAACTTGGTTTATGCTGAAATATTTACAGCTTTTTATTCTACTACAGAATCTGAAATATTTAATCCAAATTCAGTGACATCTAAAATAACTACAATTTTATGTTTAATTTTTTCAAGCCTTTTTTTTATGGATAGAGTTTGGGAAATGCTGTTAAATGTGAAACCATAACTAAGAGACTAGAAGGAACACCATGAAACCTGCTGTGAACACAGGAACTGAACCTGCCACCTTTTCTCTGGAAAGTGAGGATTGCAGAACTTGCCTTATGACCTTCTGGAGACAGAGACTAT